TTTTATTTGTTAGGCGTTTGGACCTCAGCGGAGTTCCTTTTAGACTAAAAATCCTCATTATTCTATGATTCAAAAACATTTTGTTTCTGATACCTGGTTAGAGTTTATATCTAAAACGTTGCTCATAGATTGAATATAATGATAAAAGAATCAACTTTTGCCTCTTTTACATGCTGGCAATCAGTGCAGTTAAAATGATTTAGAATTTTGATTTGAAACTAAAATACTATTTTGTTTACATTTTGCAACCTTAATCACGTTTTTTTTACATTTTGTACTGTACTTTTCAGGCTATACGTATTTCAAAGAATCTAAATTCATTATTGTTGTTAACTTCCTCTACAGAAAGAAAACAATATCTTCTCAGGCTTAATGTGCCTTTAAATGATCTTTGCCTTAAAGGCCCCGAATGTAACCCCGACATTCGCCTCTGTCGTATATGGCTACTTAAGAGTCAGAGTTTCATCCCTTAAATGCCTTAGAATACTCGATAATATTGAGAAAATCATATTAAGAACATTTACAAAGTAATAACAATATCAGGCATGCTCAATTAGAGCCTCAAAATAGACATGACAATTTTTCCTTACTGAGTGGTTAAAAAAACGGACTTTTTAGAGATTGCTAGATATAAAGTGAATGGTTTTGTTTCGATATCAATATATCTAGATTCTTTTCCATTGGCAGATATAATGCAATGTCTTGATGTTTAGTAACACCTTAATTAGCTAGACAACTAAACCGGACCGTATAGAAAACAAAAATATTGCATTCATATTAACTTACCCCTACTTCCATTTGCATATTCACCCACATACAGTAGTCCTTAAGCATTATAACAGCCTCTTCATTATTTTTCTTTCCACCCTTTCCTCCCTTTTTGCCTCCCTTTTTACCTTCCTTTTCGCCACCCTGTTGAGAAAATAGACATGAAACGCAATTAAAAGACAAAGGCAAGGAACGATTTACTAAAACGAAATGTCTTTATTACTGAGTACGACTTTGACCATTACATGCTATATTTCTTCCAAAGGGCGAGTAGGTTGTGCAATGGAAATGTAATTTAAAACAGTTTAGTCAACAATATTGCTATTTCTTAACTTTCAAGTTTGGAACGATATTGCTTAATTGAACAGAGAATCAAAATAAAATAAATCATTCAGCATGGCTATTAGTGTCTACATCATCATATAAAAAGCATTGAATATATCAATTTATATTCAATTCTCAGATTGACTATTAAAATAAACATCCTTTTATGTCTTCAAAAATTGTGTTGATGAGCCTGAAGTTATAATCACCGTTTTCATTTAATACAATTTTAATGAAAAATATAAGTTAGCTTTTTTATATTTTAGGTACAGTTTAACCTTTTTAGCTTTTGCCTCAACGGCACTTTCCTCTTCTTCTTCAGCTTCATCTTCTAATAGGTCTTCACATACTGGCTCTAGTGCTTTAAAAGCCCTGTTATACTTTTTGTTCTTGTTCTCTTTTATGTCACCAGAGTCTAGACCGTTGCACAAATCAGACAGGCCATTTTCTGGTCCATCGTCGAGTACAGTGTTACAAATGGGTTCAAGAGTACCAAATATACTTTTCCATTCTGCAGAAGTTTCATTTGGATACTGAAAAAAGATTATTGCTTATTGTTTCTTTTTTCAGTAAACAGATAAGCATGCTGTTTTATGTTTATATATTTTTTATTAAAATCAATACAGTAATGCGCTACTCATATATATTCCATTTGGTTTAAATAAAATTAATTTTATTCATAGGTTGTGTGGAAGCTTTTGGCTTATAGACACAGTTTCGAATCCGTTTCTTGAACCAACCAGTGTTGGGTAATAAGTATCAAGTTACTCGCTCAATGAAACGAGGACTCGCACCTGACACGGCTTGAATCTAGGCGGACAAGCGGACAGCGATCCTTGGATTGCAAGTATCGTTTGAATACAGTTTGCAATTATTTTTGTTGTTTTATTTCATTTAAATTTGTCAACGTTTACTTTATCATCCTGATGAATTAACAAGTGATTAATTACAGCAACAATTGTGAAAACAGTTACATGTATAAGGAAAAAAACAACAACAACAAAACTATGACTTTATTGTCCTGACAACGTACATCATAATATTAATACTGAAGTCAAAGCGGATAAAAACGAAAGATATTGTTTCTGTAACAGTGATGTCTTTTTTTTTGTTGAGTTTCTGTCGTATTTTTTTATCATTTTATGCATTTGTTTAAATGGAAAAATGATGAGAGTTTTTATTTTTGTGATGATGTCTTCTTGATTGTAATAGGTGAATGTGTGATTAAAGAATATGTTTTTAACTGAGGCAGATATGTTCTATATTCAGTCAAAAATGTTGTATGTTATTGTGAATGATTGTGTTTATATGTCTTTGAAATATGAAATAAATGGAGAAAAAATATGTAATTAATTAAACATACTGACATGCAATGATTTCTTTTGACATACATTTTACATAATGACTTGAAAGCAAATTTATTAACTTTAGTATTGTTTCTGGATACTTACTCCCACTCTGTCCAACTGGACACATGATTGTGATAACAACACAAGAGCAGTATTCACTTCCGTACCGCCCTTGCCACCCTTGCCTCCCTTGCCACCCTTGCCTCCCTTGCCTCCCTTTTTCTGTCTTGGCTTTGACTGAAAGAAAGCAAACAGTATTTCCGGTTTTCAAGACAGCTATCAACAGAAGTTTTTATCTTGACAGAGTAAGCAAAGGTATTAAATAAAGAAAGAAACAAAACTTTTTTCCCAATTTTTTAAACAAAACTTTACAAAAGAAAATGAATCAATGAAAGGAAACGAAAAGATAGATAAAACATAATAACTGACAAAAATATCTAGATATGATAGTATTAAATTGATCTTACTTGATCTACAGCTTCAGAATCACTCTCTACAACTTCTTCTTCTTCGGCCAAGATGTCTTCACATACAGGCTGGAGCTCGTCAAACCATGCAGTGTATTCAGAGTCTGTGTTTTCAACTTTTTCTTCAGCAAGAGCTTCACAAAGATTAATAAAACCATCTTCAACGCCACCTGCCTTAATCTCATATGCTTCTTGGCATATTGGAATGGTATCATTTACATAGATATCTATGAGCTCACTTGGAGTGTCATCTGAAAACTAGAATTGTATGAATAATGAAAATAAAATCGATACTACCCAAAGTAAAGGATTTAATTTTGTGATCGTCGTTATCGTCATCGTCGTCATCATCATCTTCATCATTATCATAATCATCATCATAATAATTATCATAATTTTCATCATTACCCTCTCCATTATTGTCGTCGTATAATAAAACAATGATACTTGTATTTATAATTTAAAGTGTGTTTGCAAGAAAATGGATTATAAAAGAAGACAGATGAAATAAAAAAGATTCTGTGACATATATTTTATGGTTTTCTATCAAAAGAAATAATGCTGAAATGAAGATTTATCAATATTGTAGGTTATTTGTAAAGATATTACCGAATTAACATTTTAATGTTAATAAAGGGAGGTAACTAGAAATTTATTTTTTATAAAGTTCAAGTAAAATTTTTCATTAAGAAATGAATGCATATATCTTAATGATTTCATATAATGTTGACTAATATTTGCTGTATATATTTTACATATTCTTTGATGTATGCAAATTGGTTAAGAAGCATAATTATATAGTTACATATATAAAATTTCACTTAAGTGTGGTAACATCAATAAGTACAACATACAGGATCTTTAACAGAATTGGAGAAAAGAAATTAACGTGCTTTTTTTTGGTCTGAAATGTAATAGGAACTTGTAAAAATATAAAATATGATACATACAGAATCCATGTAATCTTGAACTTCAATGGAGATGCATATGCCCATTAACATCACTACAGCTTTGTTGACTTTATTTTTCTTCCCTCCTTTTCCTCCTTTTTTACCTCCTTTTTTACCTCCCTTTTTACCACCTTTCTATAAATTAGAAAAGTTTTTAAGAAAGAATATCATAGTAAGTGTAATAATAATGTCAAACCTTTCGAATTGTATTTGTAACAAAAATATTTCATACGCATGTACGTGCGAATGGACATTTTCACTTCAAAGTTAGCAGGCTACATTATCCGGACCTGTTGGTTTAGTTAAGTGCATGTAAACATACCACTATATATTTTGTAAAGCTCAACAGACAAAGTGACTGTTAGAATCTCTTATAGTTGCTAACATGGTGATACACTTAGGAATGTCGGTAAAACATAGGGTCTTACACTCGAGTAAGACTTTTATATAGATTTCAATTATACAGAAAAAACTTAACACATCAGCTGAAATGTAAGAAAACGGCAACTTCAAGAATTGACCTTATAATATTATTTATATTACATTGAAAACAAAAGATGCATTGTGGCAAAACACACTTGCTTATTTAATGCTGTTCATTTCACACGCGTGTATCGATTTGCGCAAGAGTTGATCAATGAAGTGAAAATTAACTGAAATTACCGCCAGTGCTTCAATGGCCTCTTCTTCCTCTTCATATTTTAATATATCGGTGCATGTCGTGTTTAATTTGGTAAAAACATCATCATATTCTGCCTCAGTGTTTTCTATTTCCCCATCTTGAAGGCCTTCACACAGTTCAATATACCGCTCTAGGAGGTCCATGTCGTCATCATTACCATCGCCATTTTCTTCCTCCTTTCCCTTTTTCTGATTAAACAATAATAAATATAGTTATCTAAATTTTTTGCTTATTAAAATAACTTTGTAGAAGTCAAAGAATAAATATTTTTACATGTTTGCTGCTATTTACATAGAAGACACATGAGCCGTGTCATGACAAAACCAACGTAATGCGTTTGCGACCAGCATGGATCCAGACCAGCTTGCGCATCCGCGCAGTCTGATCAGGATCCATGCTGTTCGCTTACAAACTGTATTACAAGTAGAGAAACTGATAGCGAACAGCATGGATTCTGATCAGACTGCACGGATGCGCAGGCTGGTCTGGATTCATGGTGGTCGCAAACGCATTACGTTGGTTGTGTCATGACACGGCTCACATCTTTTTCTATTGGGATAAAAGAACTATAGTCTTTAGCTTCAAATAACTTTAAAAGAAATACTTATTTAAACTGAATTTACTAGAAACTGAACTAAATATTGATAAAATTCAACATAAAACTGATTTTATTACTGCCTTTACATTGTTTAAACATTATAAAATTAAATCTAAAGACTTATGAAATATTTTTATAAAATTTATTGACATTAAAATATATTGTTTTCACAATCTTAGATTTGTACATGTATAGGCAATTTTCGAAAGAGTTGAAACACTTATAATGTGTATAAAGAAAAACGACACATTTACATTAGATAAATAACTTTATACACTTTAGTTTCTGAGATTAAATTTGTCACTAACGCAATATTGAATTATTTCTAAGACCATCCTTTATGGTACATATCAGCTTTATCGGAAAGTATGTTGAAATGTGGACAATTCTTGTAACAAGAATGTTGAATGATGGTGGCCCTAATGGCGGGTGGCTAAGTGTAACCCTTTTATCACATAAACCGCGGCGCAGGAGTGTAATAAAGCCATTTAATAAAAACGATATTACACTAGTGTAATAACACTTTGACGTGACATCATTTGCGCTTCATACAAGTTTACAAGTTATTGTATTTCTTTTGGATTTTCAACTAAACAAATTACATGTAAACACTCTTTATCATATACTCCGGATATCGTGACATGGTATTTCTTTCTTTTTTTTTGTGTGCAAAATAATGCCTTGTCATTATTTATTTGTAATGTTTACGAAATAAAAAAATCTTGTTTAGTTACAGATTCCTGCAATTTGTTTGACTTAATTTATTTTGCATGAAAATGCACAGTACTCATCTAAAAAAAGACGATTGAAAATGTATTGGTAGGAACAAATCAACTTTTGCATAATTCCCTTTTTATGAATAGCACTGCGTACAATTAAGAAATGTCGGTGTCACATAAACATGCTGAGTTTCTGAAACGGGTTTCTCAAGATTCCAGCTTGAGACTAATCCATTAATTTAGAGAATATCAGCATGGGAAAGGTGGTCAGCCATCACTATAAAGCATGTCTCTTTAACGATAACAAAGAAAAATCACTTTCGTATCCAGACGCGTTGGAGTTCAGACTTGTGGATGCTAAAACGTGATTGCTCAAATTTTCAATTTAACAAAAAATGTTAGAAAAATATAAAACAGATGTACTCACCGCTGGTTTGGCTGAAACCAATATCCCCACGCTAAGAACAACCACCACAATAAGTTTAATATTCATCTAAAAAACAAAAAGAAAAAAAAAATAATGAAAGGAAATGAATTGTTACTTCAAGCAACACAGAAAAGGTATGACTCCCTTTTAGTTTTTCACGACGGTTAAATCGCCTTTCGCAAATAATACATGTAACCAATCATGTTATTGTAATGTCTTAATTTTCGTTTAGTATGCCGAGTTTGTTATGCTATTTGCCCCATGCACAGAGTTAGGACAAAGTTATATAAGTCAGTCAAATATTTCCAAACATGACCAATACATTTTTCAATTTAAAACATGCTTAAAATCAAGCTTGACAATTCTTTAAGAAAGCATAACTGAACATAAATAAATAAATAAATAAATAAATGAATAAATAAATAAATTAAAGTGACATTATGCCCATCCATGGGTTGATATTGAGTGAACAGGTGAAAGTTCAAATAAGTTAACATTTTTTCATAATTCCTTGCAATTTTATAATTAACTTCACATGAACGATGAATAAATCACTAGGCCTTGTGAAATATGTATAATTATCCGTCGGAATGTATCTGTAACTTTCAATTCTTAAAAAGAGTGGGGCAGTCCTTTTATATTTTAGGTAGATTTTGTTTTACACTAAACATACTCAAATATCATGTGTTGGTCAATTACCATTATAACGACAAGTCATAATATATAGTCAATTAAAGTCAATTTGACAATGGAAAAATGAGCATAATGTCACTTTAACGAATTAAATAATTAATTAATAATAATTTAAAAACTAAAACTTAAATAAAAAAACACACACACAATAAAAACAATAAAAAACACAAATAAACTGAATTACAAATTAGTACTTTAAGATAAATAACAAAAATCTTGATTCGCAAAAATAATATTAACTTTGTTATATGAATATATTTAAAAGTGTTAGCATGACGCCCGTCTCACATTTTCATAGATGAATACATGACAACAGAAAAGTGAATATTTTTGCTTTTATTTTCCTGAAAATATTAAAACGTATCATTTTGTTTTGTGTTGAAATATAACATATTGTTAATGATCATTTGTCTTATAACAAACATAAAGCCTTAAAGTAAGGTAAAACAAAACAACATCTTTGGACTGTTTCCATTGAGTCGACTCAGACGTACAATAAGGTACGCGACTGCTGCGCAACCAAAGTGGTCCCTTATTATTGCAGTGTAACTTTTCACTATGACATTTTAACCTAGAAATACACCATCAGAATCAAAATGTAACAAAATACATTTTTTTCCGTCGAGGTGCTACCAGTTGTAAAAGTTAACATCATTCTTTATAATGTAACATTTATACAGTTTATTCGATTTGTTAGATGTATAAAATACAATTTGTGATCGTTATGTTATTAATTTAAAAATAAACATGCACACAAACAGAACTTAAAGTAAAAGTAGGTATTAACTAAGATTATTGAAAAAAAATACAACAAAAGAAAAAAAAAACGCTTTTAATGTTTATACGTAATTTATCAAAATAAAATAAATTATTTGCCACAACTTTTTAAGCTTGAAACTACTTTAAAAACGAAATTTTAAAATTTACTTTATTCTTATTTAACTATTCTTTTAAGAGAAGAAAAAGAATTTCTTAAAAATATAATACTTTGTAAAAATCTTACCTTTATTCCTTTTCCGTTGTAGATTCTGTATTGTGCTTGTAAACGGTCGTTATATATAGCCTTTTTATTTCTTAATTATCTTACTTTTCAAATTCCAATTAAAATAATGTGTAACCAAATGACGAACTTTTGTTATTCAATTGATAATTACCCCCACAGGCAATTAAATTATTCAAAAATATGCGTAAACTTTCACGTAAACAAATGCCGGTTGTTTACGCCAGTCTGAAAAGTTAATACGTGATTTAAATAAACGCAACATTTTAATTGTATTGAACATTGTATTGCTGTGGAATATGTTGTTTTAATGCAATAAAATATTTGTAGTTGTAGTTGTAATTAAAGATACAGCTTGCTTTGTTAAACTTATTAAGACATTTCCGCTATAATGAGACAATCATGATTGTACACTTATTTTAGAGGACATTCCATGGAATACCTGAACAAATATGTCCTCTATATCAAGATGACCATGTACATTTACTTTAGAGAATGAATACCAGAAAAAATTCCCGCTTTACTTAGATGACCATGTGAACTTATCTTAAAGGACATCAATGAAAAACATGTAAAATGTACAATAAAAGTCCGCTTAACTGAGATAGTCATGTACACCTATCTAAAAGGACAATCCATGAAACGCCTGTGTTATTAGACAAGTGGTTTGGTACTCAGTGCATGATTCGTGTCAAATTTATTTTGCATTTTGTTATTGTAGGTCTAGGCGTCCTCGAAATATAAAAATAAAAAATAGATATGTATTAAACCCAGGTTGACATAGTTGGAAACCCGATAGAATATTTAGTTGCCGGCTCCTATCTGCCAAGACCCCGACAACATCGTTTGTATCTTGAGATAATCAAGCTATGCAGGTTCTGTTGTACACCCCGTCCCTATTCTAGTTGCATTTACCAGTTAACAAACGGCTAGGTAATGTTTCCTAAATTTAACCGGGTAGGCATTAGACATAAAGGGAGCGTTACTGGGGACCAAATGTGGCATCTTTTCCTTTTTGATGACCCTCAAAAACATATATATATATGTGAATAGTCATATAATTATTAAAGGCACATTATGCTTCAGAAATGCATAAATATTCTCTTCTTTTAAAAGGTTAAACATGAGTTGTATAATGTTTATAAATTACACTTACTATAGTTTAAGGGTATGTAAGATACTAGTTACTGAAGAAAATAGCACTAAGTACAAAATATAATATCATAAATGTAATTATTTAACAATTATAAAATATAAAGAAAGTAGTACTTTGACTGCCATACAAAAACTAAATCCCTATAAATGTACCTATTGAAAAAATAAAGAGGACAGTTTAGATAATTAACCATTGAATGACTCATTTGGTACTAAAAAGTTATAAAAAAAACAATATGGAGAATACTAAAACTAATGTTAACCGACACGGCTATCGGATAATACATGTTCACATTTACGGAAAATTTTATATTGTCACAATTTTGGAGATTTTAATATTCAATTATTACCCTTAATAGACAAAATTATATAGAACTGCAGCAATTGACATATAAATATATCAAACAGGGTATAAAATTAGATTAAAGTGCCGAGACATGCGTCATGGCATGCAGTACGTACATGTATTTTTTATATAACGTAAAATAAATTGGTCTTACATCTAGATTTGATCTTTGATAACAAAGTCACGTTTTTTTAATTAAAAATATTATTGTACATATTGTCGGTAAACAATTACCGTTCTACATGAACTCTCTTGATTTTCGTTTTTATCTACAAGTTAATCATTGGTCAGAACAAGATGAATTAAATCTAATTTGCCCTTAAGAAAATCACGAACATATTTGCAACAGAGCAAACGGTTAAATATTTTTGTTTATCATTTTAAAAGGTACATGTAATTGTATCAGCAGACAAAAAATTGCTCCCTAGGCGATTTATCTGCAAAATATTTGTGTTATATGACGTTATTTCTTTATAAATAAACAATTAAAATACAACAAAACAAACAAATAAATAAATAAATACATAAATAAATAAAAAATTAAATAAAATTCAATCAACAAAACAAAACATGGTTGCTTATTTAAATGACGCAAATTTTTCTGACGTTTAATGTCGCAATGGTAACGTTCAATATAACACAATTTTACCTTGCCTTTAAATGTATATTCATGATACAATAAGTTAGATAGTAGTATTAAATTGAAATAATCATCAAGTAAATGTGTGTACATATTTAGAACCGGATTAATGTGCTGACTCAAGATAAAAAAGGGCACATTTTCAAGAAATTCATAATTGAGCCGTGTCACGACAAAACGAACATAATGCGTTTGCGACCAGCATGGATCCAGACCAGCCTGCGCATCCGCGAAGTCTGATCAGGATCCATGCTGTTCGCTTACCAACTCTATTACAAGTAGAGAAACTGAATCCATGCTGGTTGCAAACGCATTATGTTGGTTTTGTCATGACACGGCTCATATCATTTTGATATTCTTATAAATATTTATTAAACATTTTTTTATCTAGCTCTACGTGACTTAATATGACATTCATATGATGCATTACTAACATTTTGTTATAGAACATTTTAATAATATTTTGAATATCTACATATAATTCTTGATACTAAATTGATGTCTTAAATTGGTTTATATACAACAACTTCAATCAAACTCAGCGGGGTATTATAGTTTACGTCATGTGTCTTTTTTAAGATCATATTTAATTTATTGGAAAATGCTGAGTTTACATTGTTTTTCTACTTTTCATTCTATGTGCTGTATAAAATAAATAATTCTAATTTTGCAAAACATGAACGTTTCATACACGTTTTATATGTATTAGATATTGAAGACATGTTTCACACTTTGTTTGCAAATACTATCCTAGGGGCTTTTTTGCCAAAGCATGCTCTTATTATAAAAAATGAATTTTAAAGTTAGTCAGCCATAACTATAGAGCTGGCCCAAGTTAGCCTGGCTTTACATATTGACTTACATGTGTCTCCATACCACCGTACTCATCATCATAATCACCATAATCTTAATCATCATATCTGCCACCACAACCACCTACACCATCATCACAACCGCCGTCATCATCATACCATTATCACAGCAGCCAATACCATCATCATCATCACCATTATCACAACCATCATCATCATAATCACCATCATACAATTATCACAGCAACCACAACCACGACCACCATGCATCGTCATCATCATCATTTTTGTCATCAAAACAATTCCATCCACCATCATAAACCACGATCATAATCAAAAGCACCACCATCATCATCGGCATCATCACTATCACTATCATCATCATCCAAATTTTCATATCCACAACCACCACCACAATCATCATCACTACCACCGTCTTCATAATCATCA